ATCTTATATATATGATATTTATAAAATATATGAAAAGTGCATGTGGGTAGTCAAGATCAACAACAATTTATAAAAAAAAAATCTGTTAAATAAACATTTTCTCGTGGACTGATTTCCTTATTTTATTTATTTTAAAAACTCCGATCGCGGATTTTTTTCGGAGTGAAATTTGAAAGCACTCCGAAATCACTCTGAAATCACTCCGCAAATAAAAACTCTGGATTCACTCCTTACGCGGAGTGATTAATTACTTCACTCCGGAAGTCCGAGTGATGGGAGTGAAATGAGAGTGAAATTCACTCCCGATTCACTCCGGATTTTTTACAGTGTATAAAACTTTAAAGTTTTTTCATTGAAATAAAAAATATATATTTTATTAATATTAATATAAAACATTATGTTGAAAGATACTCGGTTAGCTTAGTCACAGTGAGTCAGCAAATGCAAATAAAAAGTTTAAATTATTTTTTTTTTTATAAAAATTTTTGCTTAAATATTATAAGATAATAAGAATTTTGTTACTACAACCAACAAGCATTCATTTGTTATGTCAGCTATATACGGTTTTGGCAAGATCTACCTCCTGAAATTTCAAATTCTCTTGGTTTAGAATCCTTCAAGACAAGAGTATTCGATTTTCTTATAAATCTTGAATAATAATATAATAGTGAGCTGGTTAATATGATTAAAAAACATTATGTCCATTTGAACATTATGAAAATTTTATGTTTTAAGCTATCATGTAAATTTTTATTTCCATTATGTACATATTAGCGGTCCTTATGTGAATTATAATTATAATTTTATGTATATCATTTTTTCTATTCGGCTTTATGCCTTGGCATTTAAACCTAATAAATAAATAAATAAATAAGAAAGTTTTACTGCAGAAATTTAAATTAAAAAAAAAGTTTTGCAGAAGAGCTTTAGAACTTTACATTTAAAAGTTATGGAAATAAGAAAAATCAATAAAAGCGACTTATGAAGTAGTTTTGGGTTTTTTAAGAAAAGTTTGTTACTGTAATTCTTAAATTATCGAGAATTAAATATTTTATTTTTTATTACAGTAAAAATAACAATTTTTTTTTATTTAATGTTATTACAATTGCGACGTTATCTAGCGTTGATAAAAAATTTAGTTGTCTTCAATCGTTAAGAACGAGTTTAATATTTTACTTTCAGATAACTTTTCAAGAAGTCAATATTATAGGTAAAAAATTATAAATATTTTTATTTAGAAGAAGTACCTAATTTTTAAAAGTAAGAAAATTATAATGCTAAAGTTAGCTGACAAGTGTCAATTTTTTTAATTTTTATAACAAATCAATTAATCAATTAAAAATGCTTTAAGAAATTTTTGGTAATTATGCAGAAGTGGGGCTCCCCCTTTTTAATAAAAAATTGAAATAAAATAAAAAATAGAAAAATTGATTTTTTTGAATATTTTTATTTTTTTTCAAATTGTTCTTCTTCACGACGGATTTATGATATAAATAATGAAAAGTATGAAATTGGAATATTTTGGAGATTTTTTTTCATTTGAAGTTCAAAAATAGAGTATACAATTTTTTTATAAATCTCGAATAACAATTAAATAGTGAGCTGGTTAAAATGATTATTTTATAGTATTTAAAAACATTATGTTCATTTGAGTATTATGTAAATTTTATATTTTAATATGTATGTATTGGCCGTACCCATGTGAATGTATATGGTGTATATATATTCCATGCCAAATCAACCACTTTTGAATTCGACCTCTTTAGATTTAGCTGAAACTTTATCATTCTTTTCTACCCTTTGAAAAACATTTTTGAGAATTTTTTCAAATTTTTTTATCCAACCAAAAAAAAGTTATATATTTCCCAAAAAAGCGACTTTTTTATTTTCAAATAGCCATAACTTTTTTAGACTTTGACCTTAGGGTACCTTTTTTTTTTTTAAATTTTTGTTTTTGAACGAACTTTTCGAAAAAATACACAAAAAAAAATTAAATATGATCAATTCTATCGATTCTTCAAAAGAATCGGTTTTTTTTTAGCAAAATCGTTAGTTTTTCAAAGTTGGCCAAGTTTTTTTTTTATTTTTTTTATTTAATTGAAAAAAAATTTGCCAAATTTTCTAAAATAATAAAAATTTTTTTTTTTCTAATTTGTTCTATTTTTATCGCTCTTGAAGAAAAAAAAAATTTAATAACCGGAACAAATAGCATCGTCACCATTTCATTGAAAAACACCTAAAATAGTAAATTTTTGAACTTCAAAAGATCAATTTTTCGATTTTTCACACTCAAAAATAGGTGAAGCCCCACTTCTGCATAATTACCAATTTTCTTTTTAATTTTCTCAAGTGGAATTTTTTTAATTTAATTTTTTTATATTAATTTAATTACTATAAAATTATAAAAAAATCTATAATAGTTAACTTCACTGTTCTTAAAAAAATTTTATACAAGTATAAAGTAAAAGACCCAGTTATTGACACTTGCAATTTTATTTTAATTAAAAAAAAAATCAACTCTAATAAATTAATAAATAAAATTTTTTAATTATAAATTCTAAGATAATTGATTTTTTGAGAAATTTTTATTTTTTTTTAATTAGAATAAAATTTGAAATGATAAACAGCTAGGCCAATGTCAATAACTGGATCTTTTACCTTATCTTGAAATTAAATATGGAGTAATTAATATATTTAAGAAGATATTGGTAAAATTATAAGACTAACATGTTAAAATAAAAAAACTGGATTTTTAAAAAAAAAATTATTAATACAATTAAAAAATTTTATTGTCATTTTAGGAAAATTTTTTTATTATACAAAGTAATAAAATCGTGGTAAAAATATCAAAAAGATATAGAATTTTTCTTCGTTAGGACAGTTATCAAACTAAACAAATAATTTAGAAATTTTTTTATCAATTCTAATATTTATTTTCTGTTGAAAGAAAATTATAACACAAGTTAAGTCTCATATGTATTAATAAATAACTTTTATTGGAAGTTAGAATTATATTTATAAAAAATTATCCATAAAAATACTATATTTTGTAAAAATGATCTATAATTTAATAATTAACAATTAACATTAATGAGGTAGATAAAATGCATGGTTGCTTAATTGTATTATAAAAATACAAAAATATTTATTTTACACTCTAGTCTTTTTAAATGAGTTATTATCAGCGTTATATTGATTTTTAATAAAAGTAATATAAGTAAGACATTATAAAGCAATCATCGACGGAAGAGTATCTTTTATCTTATTTGTAATCGATAAAACCGCCTGACATAAATTTCTAACTATAATATTATATGGTAAGAATTAATTTAAAATTTTACATTCAGTATTTATCAGTTCAGTAAATATATTTTAAATTAAGAGACATTTGAAATTTTTTTTTGTTATTGTTAAACAGTATAATTTTCAAAAACTTTTCCACATGAAATTTTTTTGAAAAAAATTATTTTTCATGATGTTGAAACCAATCAACATTTAAAAAATTTTATAAATAAATTAGCGCTAAAAAAATTTATTAAAAATTGTGTCAAATATTGAAACATTGAATGAAAAAATTATACTAGTAAAAATTAAATAAAAAAAATTGTAGTAAAAATTAAATAAAAAAAATTATAGTAAAAATTCAATAAAAAAAAGTTGTCAGCTAACTTTAGTATCATGTGGAAGAATAAAAAAATTTTAAAGAACAATTTAAAAATTTATCAAATGTTTCTTAATTTAAGTTTCACAAAATTTAAATTTGCAGTCTCTCCTTAAATTCTCCGAGGGGAAAAAGTAAATGTTACATCACATTTACGAAGGATTGATGAAAATTAATTTAGCAGATATATTTGATAATTTTAAATTTTGGTGACAAATAAATTATGGCAAAAAAAATTGACATCAAATGATCAATAAATTTTAATGTCATAATTTTTAAAAATTTCTTCTTAAAAATGTTGAATTTTTTTCATTACAATTTAATTGTTAAAAAAATCTAAAAAAACTGATAAAAATTAATTTAGCAGATATTTAATAATTTTTAGTATTTTCGCAACAAATAAATTGTAGAAAAAAAATTGATATGTAGAAATTTAAAAAAATTAAAAATGCATTTTTTTAAAAATAACTTTTTGGAACAAATTTGTTTTTTAAAAAAATAAAATAATTGTCAAGTGACAGCTAAATTTAATGTCATTGGTATTTATGATATGATATATGCAAATCAATCACACACCAACACAACATAATTCAGGGGTACAAGCTTCACAACCGCCACTGCAGCAGGCCTCCAAGCAGCCGCCGCAACCAAAAAGGCCATCACAGCCGATACACAAATCGCATCCAGTGCAAGCGTCACAACCCGCGCAGCATTCGCAACCGGTGCAACAACAGTCTCCACCAGAACAACCACAATCTCCGCAATAGACAAAATTAGATGTCCCGCTAGGATGAAAGAATAAACAGCAGTCATCAGTTGGAACTAAAAAAAAAATATAATATATTTTAATTAAACAAATGATAAGAATAAAATGTGAAATTGAAGTTGGCTGACATCCTTTGACAATTTTTTTTTTATTTAAAAATAAATCAGATACAGAAAATTATTTTTAAAAAATTGCATTTATAATTTTTTAGAATAAAAATTAATTTAGCAGATAAGGTAAAAGTCCCCATTATTGACACTATAAGAGTGATCATGAATATTTGAATTTTTTTATCGAGTTTCAAATCAATATTGTCAATTTTTTTTTTGTAGGACATCTTAATCATTGTTTTTACTTATATAATTTAATTAATTAACTTTAATAGCATTAAATTTAATAATTATTATATCAACTTAAAACCAATAGGTCGAATGTATGTATTATTGACAGCGCAAAAAATTCAAGGAACCGATTATTGACATACCATTGACCCTATTATTGACAGGCTTTTTATTGCAGTTCAATTTATATTAACAATAATTATTTTTACTAACTAATGCAAAACTATCAATAATTTTTATTATTTTAAAATTCGTTTAAGACCTAGCTTTTCTATATTTTTCACCAGGTTTTTTTTTAGCAATTTTTTCTAGTCTCAAATACTTTGATTCTTATAAAATCACATGACAGTATGTAAACATTAATATGTTGATATGTATGTTGAGGGGGGTAAGGATACCTTACATTATGGCCTATGTCGTTAGTTGACGCAAGTTAATTTTTGTGTCCCCATCATTGACATTCGCTATTTTAAAATTAATTTTAACTCGATAAAGTATAAATAAATGATTATATGGTTATTTAGACTATAAATAATCTAAAATAATTTTAAACAATGCAATTACATAAAAAAAACATTGAGAAATCTGGATTTTAAAATAAGGTCTTTCTTAACAATATTGTTAAGAGATTACAAACGTATAAGCAGTTTTAGCCTACTTAAAAAAGGAAATTTTTTTGCGGTAAATAGTTTATACCTTGGAATTAAATTTTGCTATTTTTTAATTTAGAAATATGTAAAATTGTCATGAAATATCAAAAATTTTGATTATTAACAGATTTTAATAATGAAATAATAAAATTAAATAGGGTGTCAATAGTGGGGGCTCTGTCAATAATAGGGGCTTTTACCTTATTTGATAGTTTTAAGAATTTTTTTATCGAGTAAATTATGGCAAAAAATTATGAAAAAAAAAATGACATGTAGAAATTAAAAAAAAAAATAAAAAATGCAATTTTTTAATTATAATTTTTCGGGACAATTTTTTTTGTTGCATATAATTAAAAAATTGTCGACTGCTAACTTTAATGTCATTTTTTTAAAGGCTCTAATGATGGAATCTTTAAAATACATTTTAAACAGTTTCTCAAAAATGACATTTAAGTTAGCAGTCACTTGACAATTTTTTAATTTCATTTTACAAATAAATTTGTTCTGAAAAATTATTTTAAAAAAATTGCATTTTTAATTATTGAAAATTTCTGCATGCCAATTTTTTTTCTTATGTTTTTTTGCCATAATTTATTTGTTAAAAATATTATTTTTAATAATCAAATATCTGCTAAATTAATTTTCATTTTTAAAAATTATCAGATATGTCTTTCAATTTCATGAAAATCAAGTTTGCCGACATCGAAAAATTTTTATAATTTTTTTTATTGAAAAAAAAAATTTCACTTGTAAAAAATTTGAAAAACTGTAAGTGCTATTTTAAAAAAACATTTTTCAGTTCTAATTTAATAAAAGAAATAAATGGAAATGAAGTTAGGGTAAATGCACCAGTAGTTGACCGATTAAGGATTTTTGGCATTTCAATTGATCGTAATTAAATTATTATACGCTAAAAAATAAAAATTTTAAGTTTATATGAACCTTAAATATTCAAGTTTTTGATATGTGAAGTTATTTAAAATAATTATTCATAAAATTACATATAAATTCACGTTTAAATGCAGGTAAGATAAAAACACCAGTAATTGACCGAGGAGTGTTCCAGTAGTTGACCGATTCTCAAACATTGGTTATTATGTAAATTTTAATTAGTTTTTTATGTTTAGTATACAATGTTTTTATGCTTATTTATTTAAATTAGATTTGTGTTGTTAGTAAACAAAATTCGTTAAGTTTAGAACGAAACTAATAATAATAAAAAAGCAACAGATGCAATTATTAACAGTTTATAAATTATTTATTAAGTGTTAATGAATATTTGTTAACTTTTAACAAATATTTATTTAAAATGAAAAGCAAAAATAGTAATTTTCTTTTGACAGTTTTTATAACCCTACAGCTAATACATGATAATAATTTAATTCACTAAATAAATTAACGTTCTTAATATTTAAAAATATAAAAGATATTTGAGCTGTGATAAAATTTGTTATGTTACAGTAAACGTTATTATAAAATAATGTAATTAATGTAAATAATTTGTAAAGATGATTTTTGTTTATAAGCAATCTTCATAACACAAGTATGACATTGCAAGCGAAACACAAATTCACTTAACAAAATATTTATTAACTGTTAATAAATATTGGTTAAATATAAAGAAATACTTATTAACTATTAATAAATGTACTCTTTTCTCCTAAATAAATTAAATTATTAATAGCTAATAAATCCTTTTATCAATGTACAAGTTTAAACTTGACTCAACAATCATCTTATTTGAAACACATTAAACAATAAGCATAAATACTTCTTTATTATTAATAATTTAATAATTATAAATTATTTTAAATAACAACACTTATGTAAACATAATATTATCACGTAAATAAACATATTTATATTTTTATTTTATATAGGTCAGAAACTTACAATTATGCATGCGGTCAACTATTGGTGTTTTGAAAAATAGCAGGTTCCAATAGATGACCGAAGTCATTTATTGATGGTACAACGGTGTTTTATTGTCCCAGTATTTGACCGGTCGTTAAATTGGTATTTATTTGATTGTTTTTGTCAAATCTTATTGAGAGATTTGTTAAGAAACTATTAAAGACTAGTTCAGAATTTAATTTGGCAAGATTAACCTAATGGAAAGTTTTTTGTTAACTAAAACATGTAGTCGCCTCTCGGATACTCTACTATAGTATTTGACCGATTTTAGTCAGATTATGCGGTGAAAAATTTTCATGAATTATTTTCGATGTTCTAATAATTAAATAAAATCTAGAATACCTATTCATTGTAATGATTATAAGTTTAACAATAGTTAAAAATAAATTTCAGGGTCATAAAAAATGCAGTTAATAATAATTTTCGGATTTTTTTATCAAAGCGGTCAATTACTGGTGCCCGGTCAACTACTGGAACATTTACCTTACCTGACATTTTAAAATTTTTAGAAATTTTTTTATCCAAAAAATTTCAATTAAACAATTAAAAAAAAAATATCACTTGTTAAAAACTTGAAAAACTATAAGTGCAATTTTTTAAAAAATCTTTTTAGTTGTGATTTAATTAAAAAAAAAAAAATCAAAAATTTTTAGACGTCTGCTAACTTCAGTGTCATAAGAAATAAAATAAAAAACTCAAAAATGTCAGCTAACTTTATTATTATTTAAATTTTATCATCATGAATTAGATTTGAAAAATAAAGTAACATACTTGTCGTTGGCTGCTGCGTAATCACTTCCGGTTCATTTTTAATATTTTCACCTGAATTTAGGTTGTCATTTTCTCCCCGGTCAACGGAATTTAAAACCGCAACAATTATAAACACCACGCAGGTGAGTAACGCAACAGATCCAATAACTATTGAGTTATCGACGGTGCTTAATTGTTCCACTAACATTTTTAAATTAATAAATTTATTCTTTTTTTCAGACGTTAACCATTACTGAATGATGAATTTTTGAAACACTCATGCCACTCATGTACGGAGAGAACAACTAGGAGGAGTGACATCAGTTTTTGAGTACATTAGTAATGAGTGTTTAGATTAGAGGTATATAATAACTTTTCCCACACCTGCGCCACTTTAATAACATGAAAAATAAAAATAAAATAAATTGTACTAACGTAGAGAAGTTCACTTCCTATTCTATCAACTATTTATGAGTAACACTTTTTATTTTTCTATACTAATATATGCGTTGAATTTATAATATTATTATTATTATTTTTTAATATTTATTTTTTTCTAAAGACTGGTTTATAATACTTTATAGATATTTTCTGACGTTATTATTATTATTATTATTATTATTATTATTATTATTATTATTATTATTATTATTATTATTTTTATTGTTATGACAATTAAGCCGACATCTAAAAATTTTAAAAATTTTTTCATTGAAAAATTTATTACAAAAAAAATAAAAAAAAAAAAATTCATTTTTAAAAAACTTTAAAAACTATAAGTGCATTTTTTTAAAATTTTTATTTAGTTCTAATTTAATAATTAAAAAAAAACTCAAATAATTAAAAACGTCGGCTAACTTTAGTATCATTACTGTAACACATACTAGAACTCATACGGCCAAAAAAACAATTATTTATAGAGGTTTTAAATTGTATAATGAGCTACCGAATAACATTAGATCAAAAAATAGATTTTCAATTTTTAGAAGATTGTTAAAAAAAAAAATCCGTTGAGTGAATTCTTTATTTTTTCTATTACATAAAAATGAAAAAAATATTTATTCGTTTAAAAATTACAAAATGCGTATTTAGAGATTTTTAAAATTAATGTGGCTGTAACGTTCTTAATAATGAATAAATTATTATAGAAAGCATTTATCAAAAAATGCTACTTGTAGAAATTAAAAAAAAAAAATTGATGCAATTTTTCCTAAATTTTAAAATTTGTTTGTTACATCAAACTAAGAAAAAGAATTATATTAATTAAAAAAATCTTGTTAAAAGATCACATCAAGACTAGCATACTTAAATTATAATTGAACCGTTTATAAATTATAAATTATAAATATTATGGAATTAAACATATGACAAATTGTAAATATTTTTGTAAATAATATAAAGTTGTAGATTGTATTACTGCAAAAGAGATGTAATGAACAATGTAGCAATAATACTAAATGAAACCCACTATTATTATTATTATTATTATTATTATTATATATTTTTGATGATGTAATAGTCGCTCGATATTTTTATTGTAGTTGAAAAGAGGGATTTAAAAAATTGGATCACATTTTACAGCGATATTAAATAAACGAATGATGATTATGATTCATTCGATATAAATTTATGTACATATTTACTCAACTAGCAGAACTTGCTCAGAAAAATTTATTTACATCAGACAATAATTACTTGAATATTTGTTTATTAATGTAGATTTTTATTTTTTTTTTTTATGTAAATCAATTAACTAATTTTATTAACAAACAAAAATTTAAAATAATTTTTCAATTAATTTTCAAACAATATAAACTAACTAATTATTCACTATACTTTGAGCACACTACTTCATATTATAAAGAATAAGGCCGGTTAAAACTTGATGCGAGAAGAGATTATTTCATAGCTTCATAGCTTGTTTATTTTACAAAGAAATCAAATTAAATTATAATTTCTGCCGATTGCATTAAGGAGACGCGATGTAAGGAGTATCTGCGTTTACCAAGAAGTAATTCTGTTATTTATGAAAACTCTTTCCTGATTTTATAGCACAAAAATTTGGAATTCTTTACCGGCTGATATTACAGTAATTGACAAATTCGAACATTTTCAACCAGCTTGTTATAACTTCCTCTTGCAATCAATATAATTACCAGTAATTCTATGGTTTAATATGTTAGTACTAATAATTAACATCAATCTTTCAAATTGTATTGCGAACAGTTGTAGATTATTAACTTTATGTATTGTTGATGGTCCTGTATGAAGGAGCTTAGAACTCTAGGATCAAATAAAATTTTTATCTATCTATTTATACGTAATAAAAAATTTTATCTTGATTGACATTGTAATTAAATAATCATAACTCCGAACAATTATAAAAAACTTCATAGATTTATAGATTAGTAGATTTATAGAAAAGTACCCAACATATTTCATTTTCAAATATCTTGGTCCCTAATAAAGTTAGAGAATTTTTTTTTTTACATCAAAACTCAAAAAATTCTCTATAAAATAGATATAATATTAAATCAAAAAGTGACAATTAAAATATATAAAAATACTATCGAAGTTTAAATATACACAAAGAATTATAACGAAATAAAATTTTGGGGTGGGTACTTTTTACCCAGTGTGCTTGTCAGGGGTTAAACAAGTAATTGACTAATTTTGTTATCAGTTATAATTATTTGTTTTAACTTCTAAGAATTCGTTATTAACTTTTCACGCGTGTTTATTATATTTATAGTGTTTTTTTAATTGTAATGTGTAATTTTTAATTTTTATAAGATAGCAGTCACTTGATAATTTTTTAATTTTATTCAACAAACAAATTTGTTCAAAAAAATTATTTTTAAAAAATTTAATTTTTTATTTAAAAAAAAATTTTTTTTATAATTTTTTTTTGCTATAATTTATAAGTTATAAAATTCTTAAAATTATAAAATATCTTCTAAATTAATTTTTATTTATTTATTAATTTAATTGTAATTTTTATTACAATTATAAATGTAAAGTATCTCATTTTAAGATACAAACTTTGATTAATTTTTTTAACAAAAAAATTGCGTATAGCTTCTTATTTCACTGGGAAATAATTAGTGATTCATTAAAAAGAAGAAATACATGCTTTAATATTTTTTAATTCACAATTAAAGTAACTTGTAATTAAATTCTAGTTAATAATTAAAAAAGACAAATATTTTTCTTTAAGCAATATATCTTCATTAATAATTTCGAATATTTAAATAGGTTTCTAAATGATTTATTATTAAATAACAATAACTTAATTAATTATCAATAAATTACATACAATCCAGTAAATATTTAAAACTAGTTTATTTTTACAAATTCATTCTTTAGATTCTGTTTTATCATTTTTGTTCTGTTTTTGGTTCTTCTTCTTATCGTCTTCTTCATTTTCTGCAGATTTTTCAGGTTCCTTTTTCATGCTCAAAAGATCTTCGGAAAATCCCTTTTCACGATAAAAATCAGGATATTCTGACATACACGTGAACAAATTTTTAAAAGATGTAAGACACTCTAAATTATCTTGTTCCTCATTAGTGTTACTATTGAACATACAGAGAAATGATTCTTTAAATTCTGAACCGCAAGGTCCTGAGGCCATTCCATCTAAGCAAGGACAATCCCAATTTATTTCTCCGCTAGAAAGAATTAATCCGGGGCTTGATTCTGATTCACTTTGATTGTTTTTGCTGGCAGGTGGTTTTTCTTCTTTATTAAAAGATAAATTATTGGAGTCTTTTTCTTCTTTATTGTTGGCCGACATTGTTCAATTTTAGAATATTAATACTTTTTTAGAGTTAATTTTTCTCAAGTATTTATTAGAGTATTATTTTAGATCATTGTCTAGTCTTTAATTAATCTGAAATTATTATTATTATTATTAAAAAACTGTAGATTTTTATAGCTTCTTTGGAGTTAATAAATTTATTTATATCCTAGAAAAAAAAATTTCAATTTTTTTTATTTTTCTTTTTATAAATTTTTGAGTAAAAATTTTTTTTTTTATTTTTAGTTGAACAAAAAAATTTTATAAAAATTTTTAATTTTTAATTAAAAAAATTATTAATAAAAAAATAAATAAAATAAATTATTAATTAAAAAAAATTATTTTTTTTGAAATTCGAGCCAGTAATTTATTTTTTTACTTTTATATTCATACAAAATTAATTTTTTTAATAATTTACATATAAAAAAAAATTTTAATTTTTGCCTTTTTAAAAAATATAAAAATTAAAATAATTTAAATTTAATTTTCAGAATTTAAATCAAGGTTATTGATGTAAAATTTAAAAAGCGGATTGTTATTTTATAAATAAATTTTTATAAGTGTAATGATGATGGTCAATACTTACTACATTTATTAAAAATAAAGTTCAACGCGTCCCAATAATTATAAAAAAATAATTTGCTAAAAAATCGCACCAAAATATTACAACACAAAATACAATATTAAATCACACTTACAATACACGTGCTTACAACAATTAATGTTTTGGTAAAAATGGTTTATGATGTGATGCAATAGGATTTATTTACCACGTGGTGGTTATTCAATTGATGTAAATGTAAGCGATCGTCTATATCAGTTCATGGCTTTATCACGCAACTAGTTATCAGATATTAGTAAATTAGAATTTTTTATATAATTTATTTAAATTTTAATAATTAATGATTATTTATATCACTAATTAAATTTATAATTTTTTCTTAAAGAAGTTTCAATTTCTTCATAAAGAAGTGAATATTTGATATTGAAAATTTAAAAAAAAATTTATTTTCATGACATTTAAGTTAGCAATCACTTGAACATTTTTTAATTTTATTTAACTAACAAATTTGTTCTGAAAAATTATTTTTAAAAAATTGTATTTTCAATTTTTTAAAATTTCTACATGTCAATTTATTTGTTGCAAAAATTCTAAAAATGATTAAATATCTGTTAAATTAATTTTCATCAATTTTTTTTAACAATTAAATTGTAATTAAATAAAAATTCAACATGAAAAAATAAAAAAAAAATTATGACATCAAATTTATTAATCACTTGACCAATTTTAAATTTTATTTAACAAACAAATTTGTTCAAAAAAAATTATTTTTAAAAAAATGCATTTTTAATTTTTTAAATTTATTAATCACTTGACCAATTTTAAAATTTTATTTAATAAATAAATTTGTTCATAAAAATTATTTTAAAAAAATTGCATTTTTAATTTTTTAAAATTTCTGTCAATTTTTCTGCCATAATTTATTTTTTACAGAAATTTTCAAAATTATCAAATATCTTCTAAATTAATTTTCATTTATTTTCAATTCGATAGATTAATTAAAAAAATTTTCATACATCATTTTTTATTTTACTAAAAATTACGTTTATAATAAGTTTTTGTTTCCTTAAAAATTTTTCTACTATTAATTACATAAATATTATTGTCAATTGAATTTTTACTCTGTAAAATAAATTATTTTAAATTTCTCTTTTTTTGTTTATTAGACTTGACAGGTACATTATCACTTTCATAAAATTATATTGCATTAAAAATTATTTTACATATCTCTATATAAAATTGCAATAACAATACTGTACTGTATATGAGTAATTACCCAATAATTGGTAATAAATTGAAGAAAAAAAAAATATATATAAAATACATTAAATCGCTTATAAATATATTATTTGTATCTTATAAATGTATTCCTGAGAAAATGGCACCAACAAATTTTCAGATTGATGTTAATATAAAAAAGTTATAAATTTATGTATGTAAAATTGTAATAGCTATTAAATATTTATAATTTTTAATAGGAAGCACTTATTTAATTTTAATTAAGCTACAATTTTTCAGATCAATTTTCTTCTTTTAAAGTATGCAATAGTTTTTTAATCGAAGGCAATAAGCAACATTTTTAATTATATATTAATTATATATATTTTTAAAAAACTTTTTTTTTGTACTTTTGCACTTGTGTAAAAAATTAAAATTTTAAAATAAAAAATAAAATTTCTTCTGAAGAAATACAAAATTAAAAAAAAATGATCTAAACGGAGCTATTTAATAAATATTCTATTCTAATAAGTATCAGAGTATTTTTTAAAAATTCTTTTTTGATTAAAAAAAAATTAAAAACTGAAATTAACTCACATTTTTTTTTTACTAAATTAGTTATCATAAATATCATAAATAATTTTTTAATGAAATTTTAATGAAATAAAAAAAATTGTTTTCTTATTTAAGTACTAATTTAATTAAAAAATAAAAATTGGTAAGATGTCTGTTAATTTCAAAATCATTCCTACTAACAATAACATTTTTAACTGTTATCGCTTTCGTTTTAATTGCTACGTTCATAAACTAGGAATGTTTTAATCAAAACAACCAGTACATCCATCATCACAACCGTCACAATCTTCGTCATCATAACAGTTGCAGCCGTCGTTATCATCGTTGTCATAGTGAATATGATTGTCATAGCTAGGACTACCACAGACAAAACAGCAATAAGCAAGACTCGTCGATGGCTCTAAAAAAAAGTTTAATAATTAATTTTATTATATAAATTGAAATTTAAAGAATTATTGTGTTAACATTATTTTAATTAATTAAATTAGAATTAAGAAAATATTTTTTTTAAATTGCACTTATAAATTTTTATACTTAATTTTAAAGATAATTTTTAGGAACAAATTTGTTTGTTAAATAAAATTAAAAAATAGTTAAGTGATTAATAAATTTAATTTAAGTTTTTTTTTTTTAATTTTTAATGTTGAATTTTTTTGCTAAATTTTTTTCATTACAATTTAATTGTTAAAAAAATTGATGAAAATATATTTAGCAGATATTTAATAATTTTTGCAACAAATAAATTATATAAAAAAAAATGAAAAAAAATTGACATGTTTCTACAAAATTTCTATTTTAAAAAATAAAAAATACCTTTCTTCTCAAATAACAATTTTTAGGAAGAAATTTGTTTGTTAAATAAAATTAAAAAATAGTTAAGTGATTAATAAATTTAATTTAATTTTTTTTTTTATTTTTTAATGTTGAATTTTTTTGCTAAATTTTTTTCATTACAATTTAATTGTTAAAAAATGTAAAAAATTAATGAAAATTTATTTAGCAGATATTTAATAATTTTTGCAACAAATAAATTATATAAAAAAAAAAATGAAAAAAAATTGACATGTAGAAATTTTAAAAAATAAAAAATGACTTTATTCTCAAATAATAATTTTTAAGAACAAATTTGTTTATTAAATAAAATTAAAAAATGGTCACGTGATTAATAAATTTAGTGTCATAATTTTAAAAAATTTCTTTTTAATTGATGAAAATTAATTTAGCGGATATTTAACGATTTTTTGAATTTTTACAACAAATAAATTGTAGTAAAAAAGAAGAGAAAAAAAATTGACAGGTAAAAATTAAAAAAAATCAAAATTGCAATTTTTCTTAAATAATTTTTTTTAAGAAATTTTTTTTTTTTTTTTCCTTAATTTGTTTAAAGTCGCATAAGCTACTAAGGTCATGAGCGACTACGGTAGGGGGTAAACTTTTGAGATTGGAACTCGTTTGTATTTCTTGGGCTGAGCAGTATAATACACTTAAATATTGAAAATATTCATTGGTGTACGCCGGACTCGAACCCGGTCCAATGCTTTGGTAAGCAAGGGCCGGATCCGATAGGCTACTGCGCGCCTTTAAGAAATTTGTTTGTTAAATAAAATTAAAAAAAAAAATCAAGTGATTAATAAATTTAATGTCATAATTTTTAAAAATTTCTTTTTAAAAATATTGAAATTTTTTCATTACAATTAAATTGTTAAAAAAAATCTAAAAAATTGATGAAAATTAATTTAGCAGATATTTAATAATTTTTAGAATTTTTTCAACAAATAAATTGTAACAAAAAAAAATTTACATAAAAATTTTAAAAAATAAGAAATGCAATTTTTTAAAAATAACTTTTAGGAAGTTGGAGAAGTTAAAGAGAATTTTCTGTAATATAATATTAAAATAAATTAATTACCTGGCGGTGGTTGATTAGATTGATTTATGACAACTTGTTGTCTTCTTTTTTCAGGACGCTGTCTTTGTTTAGGATCAGGCTGTCGTGGATTTTCAAGTGGAGACTCGGGATCGTCAGAAGGCGCACTAGGTTGTTCATATGCGCGTTATAAGTGACCGTAGTAGGTAGAAGTATTACAACAACTGCGATTAACACTACTGCAGCTACTATTATTAAAGAATCCATTTTTTCTAATAAATAAAAATGATTAAATAATGAAATAATTTAAAAAAAACTTTTAATTTGTTTATAGGATTACTTACACTGTTTTACGGAAGGACATAAGAACTATGCGTATGTGTAGTATAACTGTACTAAGCTGTACTATCATTATTTGTGTCAAAAATATTCAGCTGTTCTGAATCATGTAGAGGATTAAAATATATTGAAGATTATATTGAAGTATGAAAGTATATTTTCTACACTATCAACTATCAAATGTCTTATTTTTAATGATACACTGAAATACAGTGAAAGCTGTTAAACCTGGGTAACTTTTAACAACTTTCACTGTAAATTAAATATTTAAAAGAAAAAATTTTCAAAATTTTTTTCACTGATAAATTATAGCAAGAAAAATTTATTTTAAAAATTCCATTTTTAGAAACTCTAAAAAATAATAAATGCAATTTTTTTTAAATTATTTTTTAGACCTAGGGTAAATGCACCAATTATTGACCGATTATTAATCGA